GTTGTTGCATTACAATTTAAAGTACATCAAAGATAATAAAAATACACATAATTAATAATTATTAATCTATTGGATTCTAAAAAATAAGTGAATGAGCTCATAAATAAACTCGTGATGGTTTCGTGTTTCCACGTCATTTAACACGTGGAATAGCAAGAAATTAATCACTGCAAATAATAATATGTTTATATGTATAAGTGCAGACCGTTAAACAATACAATTTTAATTATGAATCCTTTTATAAATAATTCAGATTGATTTGTTATTATTTTGTTTAAAAAGACTTAGCGTTTAAGTATACAATAATTGTATCGTTTTAAAGGCATGAAATTTTGGATTCCAAATGAAACGATAAATATATTGATTTAACATACATTCTTGTGTGTTTAAAAAAAAGCTGTTATGTCTCTACCTTTTGGGGCATTAAAAAATGTTCAACTTTGAAGGTAATTTATGGAAGCAAATTAAATTAAATTAGTACATGCAGTGGTTAAACGCTCAATTTCTAGAGTATTTTAAAAGTAACCGAAAAAAAAAATAAGGAAAAATGTGAATTTGTACACAAAATTATTAGTTATATTTGTATAAATCTATTTTGTGGTTAACTATACTTGATTTTCCCCAAATGTTTATTCAAGTAATTTCTACTCATGGAACAACTTTTGACTATTTTTGAGCCATTCAATTTTTTTAATTATATTGTTCCATAAATGTCACTAAAACATTTTTCACCTAGTCAAAAAGCTTGAAAATTTAATACAAGGTTCCTCACAAGTAGTTCATACTGTAATGATAAAATCTAATATAAACATTTCAATTGAAAAATATTATTTGCTATAACTTATAACTTTCAACGTATATTATTGCATAGTTATTGCGCACAGTAACATTTTAAGATGCAAAGTTGTTGACAAAAAAATTAACTCAACTTACAGTATAAGTGTTTAAGTGGCATAACTAAATACTAATAGTAAAATAGTAAAACTTTAATAGCAATACAAATATATCATAAAATATACCTATAGTACTTTATTATATGGGTTGGCGGACCGTCTCTGCTAAGAATTGTTTTTCGCATGCTATAATTTATTATTAAATTACGCATACATTACAGCGAATTACTCAATGTCCAGTGTATACACTCGACATCTACAACTGTACAGAACGGTTACCTGCTTTCTTTTAAGGTTATTATTCGTTATTCAGAGACATGGACATTGCCATATTGGGAATCTTGAAAATATTTACAACCTTAGTATATGTTTCAACCAAAATCCAAAATTTGGTAACTGATATATAAATATAATAATTCATGACACATTGACACATGCAAAAAATACATAAGCAATTAAATCCAAAAAAATGTTCCTTTCTTTTTACTCTGATGAACTAGGTACCTATATTTTATTTAGGACATTTTTAATGAACGATCTTAATATTTATTTTTGGATGAGATCCTAATATATTTTGGAATAAGAATCAAGTATTATATATTATTTGATCATTGGTTTAAAAGCTGAAATTTATGTTTATTTTTTAATAAAAAGTGCACCGTATAGCTACTTATTATAGATATTATTCATAATATTGTTATAGTGTTTATTGAATTGCTTCAAATTTTTTGAATTGTCTCTTATGTGTAAATTGGATTATTTTTTTTATACAAAATTTCCATCAGATTTATGTAGTTATGAATCTGAAGTGTTTATATTATCATAATAATTATTCCGATTAAGTTTTTGTACAAGTACCTTTATATATTATAATTAAGTGATATACTATTGTGTAATGCAGGGATGGAAAACTTTTAATTTTTTTGTTTTCGTTTTTGTTTATCGATTAAAAAAATATGGTTTGGTTTAACATTTTTAAACGTTCTTGTTAAACGTAATTTTTGTATATAGTTTCCAAATAACATCTTGATAATTGTGTTTTTTTTAAATTATTATAAATTATTATAATAAAAGAGCAATATATAGGTATAGCCGTATAGGTATAGGTACTTAAAACTTAAAATGAATTATTATTCATATTTAAATTTAAATTATAATACCTAATTATAATTTGTATGGAAATTAAAAATTAAAGTATATTTAAATTTGTGCATTAGTAAAGTGATCTAAAAATCAAAAAGTGCCTTCTTACCCTCTAACTTACTTACCTCATCTCTACATTCTACTTAACAATTAGTTATCAAGATTATCAATTTTCCATTAACAGGGTTATTATTTTTTTTATCGCCTTGTAATTTATTTTTGGTTATATTTCTTTCGGTTTTTGGTATCTTTTCGTCATTATTTAAATTTTTTTTTTTTTGATTTTTTTGGGTTTAATGATGTTTTTCAAATATATTATCAGTTCCTGGTATAATACATTAGTATTACTAACACTTAATAGTTAATAGGCGTAAATACGAAATGCAGTTTGAATCTTGACTACAGAATTATTATTTTTTAATTGATATTACCTAAAAAATTGAAATTGGACTTTATATCTACAACTGTGAACCGTTTGGTTTTTTTTTTGTATTCGCTGAGGGTGTGTTATCTGAATGACCTGAATAATTTAAAGGTGAATTATATGGCTGACTGAGTGGCATTTTATTTAGAACTGATAAGAAATACATATTTTTCGGATACTTTTTTGTATACAAATATTGTATGCTCAAAAAAATGATTTTCTAATCCATCAAACTGCCCAGCACTTGTATTAGATCTGGTGAGAGAGTATGATTTGCAACACCACCCGTGGTACAAGCGCTCCCTCTGTTAACGACCACCAGCGTAAACATTTTGATTTGACCCAGTGAACTAAAAGCTTTAACTTTTAACTAACATTAGCTTAAGCCTATACTTTTGCGATGTAAATATTTGAGTTTTTATATAATGTACAGTGTATATCATCATAAAATAATGTATTTTTGAGTAATTAATACAATAATATATTATTTATTTTTAAGTAATTAACATATTCGTATTTTAATTATATACAATTAATGTTATTATAGATATCCATGGAAATGGAGGCTAACCGCCTCCGCTCAGAACCGTTTTTTGTATGCAATGATTTATAATTGAATTCCAATTAACACATCCACCACAGCAGCGTACTCGATGACGAGGTTTATTCAAAACCTATACTATACAGCAGTATGACGCCCTAGGTTTTTTATAAACTATTATAACTATAAAAAACAAATTTTTTTGATCAAAATAAATTAAGTGCATTCATACTACATATATATACATATTAAATGTGTATACACTATATGCTTTGAGGTTTAAGACACAATAAGAAAATGCATAAATGTATAATATAATTTTCTCGTGAAAAAACGAGTCCTACATTAATAATAATTGTACAACAGTACTTTAAGTAACATTTGTTTTTAAAGATTTAATTGTGAATATAAATTGTTAGTAGCACTAACGTAGGTGTACCATTCATGTAAAGGAAATTCGATATAGATAGTATATAATATTATTAAATATTCAGTTATGTATATTATATAATATATTATTAGTAGTCAAAACGACTTAAGATTCAAAATTATAAGATAAATAATTTTATAATGATTCATAAAATAGTTAGGTACATAATATATTGGGTGATTCACCCCGCTCACCCTCATATTTCCCTTTGGTAACGAAGCTTATTTAAATTCTAATTTTAAGAATTTGTATACATTATACTCATATATATATATATATTATTTATTTTATTACATACTATTTGTATATACTCAACAGTTTTTGAAGTTTGAGTATATTATTTTAGGATTTTGAATAACTGCATATTATTGACGAAAAAAGAGATTGAAGAGTATGATTGGTGAATCACCCTGTACCTACATGTAAGCAGTTTGAAATATGAGTATAAATTATTCATTTCTATAATTTGGAGTTTTATATTATAGTATATATAATATACTATGTCCTTAATAAGTTAATCTAAACAAATCAAATAAATATACCATATTGTTGTGTCAGTAAAAAGTGACGAAAAGGGATATTAATTAATTATGTACAACAATACATATTATAATATATTTTTAAATTAAATTGTGTCAAATCGTAACGTTCTCCGTAGGTTTCAACTTTTTAAAAGACCATGTAAATTATTGTTTACAATTTTATATTTGCATTTCACCGCTCCCACATGTTTTTATAATATTATTTTGTATTGTGTGTTTTGATGTAAAATTCGCATTGAACTATGCACGAAATAACTAGCACACAATGCCCCCCGCCCGAGTCAACCACCACCGGCGGCCGTTTTCGCCTCGTGAATCCTGTACAAAACGTTTGACGTCATCAGCTCGCTGGCTGTGGGGTTTTATTTATTTATTTATTTTATTTTATCTCGCTCCGCCGTGTACCCGACCCGACCGACATCGTCCCTCGCCCTCGCCACCTCCCGACCAACGCCTCCGACTTAAAAACCGCCACCCCGTGGGAGGCTTTATGTAATAACAACTTCGTTGTGTCGCGGGATTTCGTTTTCACCGCCGCCGCCGCCGCCACCGCCGTTTGCTCGCTCTCTCGAAAATATTTCGCGAGTCTGTGCCGATCTCGCGGTGTGCGTTTTGCGGCGGGTTGTTGTGCGTGTGGGTGTGGGGGCACTTTCGAGGGGGTGGTTCGGTGTGGAGGGAGCATGGGATACACGGCAATTATGCCCCCGCCGCCGCCGCGGCCAAGCGAGGACCGCCCCCGGGACACATCCGGGACGCGCGCGGCGTGCGAGTGTGTACGCCTACGCGAGGGCCGCCGTGACGTCAGAACCCCCTAGCAACGGTGCTGCCGCTCGTGACGTATAACACGGCTGTGACGTCAATCATCATATTGGCCGGAGCCCCCGAGGCGCGACGCTCGCCGTGGCTGCCGTCCGGGCCGCCTTGCATTCGGTCTGTCACACGCGCTCCGTACGCTCTGCCGTTCTGTTCCTTTAGTTGTTAATAAAAACGTTGTTTTTTTTTTTAAAAAAAAAAAAAAAAAATAATAAAAAACACACACAAACTATTTCGGACGGTTTTTGAGTGTCGTGTTTTTTGCTAACGGTTTTGAAATATCACTAAATCGATTTTTTTTTTATACATATATTTACCGAACATTACATAATAATATCATAAAGCATATAATATATTTCTACATATTTTTTATGTACCGTCATAGTTTTTGGTCTTTTTGATTTCGAATTAAAATTCAACGCTGGCAGCCCAACAGTTCCAACGGAGGAATTACTTAACCGCCTTTGGTAAGTCAATTATTTAAACTGAGTTATAAATTTAAAAAAAAAAGTATACTATGGTAACATTAAAAGGATTATAGGTACGTTAACAAAATACTATACTGTTCGGAACACGTGCACAAAACCGGTTGGTTGAACACCTCGGTAATCGGGATATTAAGCTGATATAGTGTACAAAATCTATCCTGACCCAAAATACTATTGTTCTTTAATTTATATCATTTTAATTTACACGAATTTCCCCTGTAATTACCTATTTAGTAATATAGAGGTCACAATTCGATGCATTTGGAAATTCCAACACTAGGGAAAATATGTGCACCTATGCTGTAGGTAAAATTGAATTTAAAAATCTCTTGTAGAATGTACTGGGAATTAACTTTTATATATTTTTTTGATTAGATTTATCTAATTAATAAGTTTATGACCCATGAGTAAAATACATTTTTATTGACATGGGGGTTCTCAGTATTGTAAATATTATACCTATTATACCTATTATTGAAATGAAAAACCATGATTTTTTTAAATAAAATCAAGGGACTTCGATCGTAATCAGAGCACGTTTATCTATCGATTAGGCGTCGACATTTAACCTATTAGCAATATATTTTTCTAATCCCCACTTTCTTTCATATTTGACTTTCACCTTCGTTGTTAATTTAAATTCAATAATAATGAGAATAGGTGATTTGTTTTGTATATTTTTCGTACAATAGTAGTTATAATTATTTTTAGTTAAAATTTCTTCAAAAAAAAAAAAAATAATATAAGTAGATAGGTATACATTCTAGATAATATTTATTTTTAAGATTTTGGCGATATTACGGTATTTGCCTTGGAACCCGTTTACTTTCTTTGGGTGGAGGAATTTGGTTTACAAACGGGGAGGGGAAAACACCATGTATACAAAATTTCACCTTGGGTGAAGCACCGACCGTTAAAGGACGTGTCCCCGCGAACGCCATCAATTGTTGTTATACGTTTTTTAAAATGGTTAATTAAGAAAAAACGAAAACGATATAGGTCAATGGCCAATAGAGAAGATACCAGCGGGTTAATACAATTGTGTGTGTAATCTAATGGGAAAGCGTTAATGTAACGGATTTTGTGACTTACACGCTATTTGAAATTTACCAATAGCAATTTATTTTATAACTTTCAACTAGTGCGTGTATGATAATAGATACAACTACACAAAGTGATTAAACTACAGCAAGAAAGTTATTAAAATGCACTATTTTTTAGTTCAAAACGTTTTAATTTTTGCTATAGGTATAGTTCTATCTGAATATTTTATTGATTCAACATGAATAAATTCAAAATGAATATAAACTATTAAATCCAATGATCTTAGAATTGCATAATAATACTTAAAAAAAAAATAGCAAAATATTATTATGTCTTGTAAATTTTACATGTTAATATATTATACATTAATAATTAAATATACCTAGAATTTGAACAATTAAAAATATTTGCATTTCATTTGTATTAAGTACTCACAATAATGTTTTTAATATTATTGACAAAATCGTTACAAAATATTGAGCAATTATTTTGCAGTTGACAGAAATTAAAAGCAAATGTTCAAGGTGAGAAAAGAAAAATTAAAAATAAGTTATACAATTTAATAAATTGTGTGGTTATTGTGTGTTTAATACTTAATGTGTTACGGCGTTATTATAATATTATTATTAACTTATTTAAAATGTATAAATAGTATTATTAATTCTAACTGCCCATTTATTGACTTCGAATTGACACTTCATATTATATTATATACATATTACATAATATATTACCTATATAGGTACTTTTAAAGGGCATTTTTATTTTAAAAACAATTGTTACTCAAATAATACAGAACAATGAATTAAACAAGTATAAATTGAAGTAATTTCAGTTTATATCTTAAAAAGTTTAAAATTTGAACCAGTGATTATAGTATCTAGCTTAAAAAATAAATTGTTTGTATATTTGCACACAAGTTAAGGCAAATGATAAAAATAAAATAAAACACTTATAACCAAATTTCTATTGGATGAACTTTTACATTTTTAGTTTTTTGAATGTACATTGATAATTTTAATTTACCTATTTAATTACCAGCACGTGCTAATAAAACAATGAGAAAATGATGACCCATAAAATTCGTTGTCGATAAAACCATTAAAACCATTAAGTTAACAACGATTAAAATGAAAGAGTTTGCCAATGTTAATGAAGATAATTCTAAACGATAAGGAATCAAATAATTAGTTATAGCTAGGTATCGCCTTGTCAGGTTAGTGTTTGTTATTTTGTCTTAGTAAAAATCAAATACCTAAAAGTCTTAATCGTAATTGACCAAAAAACACTTTCAATTTCTAATATTACTAAACATATTTACGTATAAGTATATAACTTTAAAAAATGTTATTGCTTTAGATATTTCAAAACATATGGTATTGACTAATACTTTTTATTGTATTAAAGTATAATATATTTAAAATATCATTAAAAATGCAGTTACTGTATGTTAAAAATTATTGTTGTTTTTAATTTGATGTCTAATTTAGTTTATCAAGTACCTATGTAAGTATAATCATCAATAACTTTGTTTGAATGACTACTGGGTAAAAAGTTATTTAAATACATCATAATATACTTTATTTTAATTTTATTACCTATGATTTCTGTGAAATCGAATGTGTTCAACTTTTTCAAAACTTTTTATTCGATATTTGTGTATAATAGTGCAGTCGGCACGGGTATTCATATCTATTAAATATGAAGAGGAGCCAACTTTTAATGTGCATTTATATACCTATCTTCAAAAATTTTACTAATTATAAAAATTATAGTGACTTGCGGAATGATTGGGATTTGGAAACATACTTCCGACCTACTTGCCAATAATCAACATCTTCGTATAATTAATTAATAAAAAAATAATTGACTTGGGCTATCCAGCATTAGAGTTATAGGCATTTTGAATAATGTCTCAAGATTCCATGGCATAGATATTTTCAGGTTCAGTCAAGGTCGTAAACTCGATTCCATAACTTGTCCAAAAATAGATTTAGCCTGGTTTGATTTTTTTCACCAATCTCAGTTTTTTTATTTGAAATAATACTAATATTGTAATTTATATCATCGCAGTTTGTATTTTTCTGTATTTATTTGAATATATCAATATCATAACCAGCCTGACAAGAATATAATATTAATATATTATTATATAATATGAAAAGCATCGCAAAAACTTGTATTTTTATCGTGATTTATGTTATGATCGGGAGATGAAAAACTTGTTCAAGGTTAATAATATTTGCAAAAAAAAAATATAAGCCGAAATCAAGGTCGAATGGAAACGTCACCAAAGCACATCCGAAACTCTTTTTAAAGACTCTATGATGATGAATGACTGCGACGTTTTTAATAATTTTGACACTTTATAGTACACAATATATATATGGGTAGGTACCTACCTACTTCCTTTCACGTGTACAGTATATATATATATAGGACATTAGGACGTAATGTGGCCTAGTCCTCCGTGGGAATTTCGTCGTTTCTGTTTTATATATTATTACGTAATCTCCTCGACAACTTATAAGTTACAATATAATATTTTATACATATATATATATATATGTGTGTGTGTGTGTGTGTGTGTGTGTGTGTGTGTGTGTGTGTGTATTTGTATCGTCGTTATCAGCGCACCAGGCAGATAACACAATAGAACCATTGCCGGATATCCAATGCCATTACGCTGGAACTACATATTATTATATACGTTTATCAACGCCGCCGTACACACAATAATATGTAATATGACGTACCTATATTATAGTATATTATTATATACAATAGAGCGGCAAACCAGCACCACTTGGGTTTTCGATTGATATTATATTATTATTGTGTGTGTGCGTGTGTGTATACACAGTGCGCGCAGAAAATATTTCTGACCCAATTAACGATCCAACAGCAGTTCATTAATTATCATTACTAAACCAAGGCTATATTAATTCGTAATAAATCGACCGGCGTATAGTCTCTACGATATCTCTGAAACTTTTCAATATTTAAAACCGATTGTTCATATTTTAAACATGTTAGTTATTGAACACACGCGACAATTGAAAAACATTATACTAACTATATTATGCTACAACTGGTGATATAGGTATATTGTGTTAAAATTTGCTCTAGTTCACAAGTTCCGTTCACTTCGTCAAAACGATGTGTATCGGCAGTATTCGGTCGTGTGCTTATACAAGTTACAATACAATATGCGTACCTACCTGGCTACCTAAATGTAAACCGGTGTGTAATTTTTTTTTTTCGAAATACCAAGTCGCTACAGGCCTAGTAATCGATTCGTATCCATTATTCGGTCGCTTCATTTTTAACCTCAAACAATAGCGCCTGTTTAAGCATACTATAATATTATAATATATATGCATTATGTTTCTGATTTTCTGATTATCACCCGTGTGCATGCAGTTGTAGTTGGTTACCAACATAACCCAACATGATCGATTACCCAATCAACCGCGGTATTGTGCTGCCGTTGTATGGAACGAACAAGTGATTCACCACCAAAACTGTTAAGTATCAGCTGTAATCTGTTTTTACAGCTGATGCCTTATTTTTTTTAAATATTTATTTAACCAAAATGTAAATTAAACATAATAATTTAATTTACAATTATTTTAATTTTATTAGGTAGGCACTTTCTATTACTGTAGTATAACATTATATTATATCTAGCACGTATGGTGAAGCACGATGTATGAAGGTATAGGTACACAATTATTGAAGTATATTTAGGTACTTAGGTACCTATTGTATTTTAAGCACACTAAATATTGACAATTTCTATTTTTATAATATGAATACATTTATCCGAAAATAATAATTGAATTTCTTATTGTTAGTTAAATATATACAAATGGGGGCAGGGGGATTGTTATAACCGTTCTTATGTGCAGTTGTAGGTGTCAAGTGTACTTTGAAATTGAGCAAATCACTGAAATGTAAGTATTAAATTTGAATTCAATGCCCGTGAACAAAAAATGAACAAATTTATAATACGGTGCTATGTAGGCATATCATATCGGTTATAGTGTACCTCAGTTCATAGTCAAAACCAATGACCACCTTCTATTTAAACAAAAAAAATTTCAATTTGCAAGAGCCCAAACAAAATTCATGTGTATTTAATTTATAGCAACCTATAAGGGTTGAGAAACTAACACTCCGCGATTTTCAAGGAATATGCCTCCAGAATTTGGTGCCAATTGGTTCAGTAGTTCCAATTCTATAAGTCCCATACTCTCAAAGTACCAACTAGATTCACTTTTCCACCAGAAAAAATATTGAAGAGAAAATCCAAGCTTTTTTACTGTCCCCAAAGGGTGATGACAGACACACAAACAAAACCACACAGACAATATCATTGTAAAATCAATACATTCATACTCCACTCGGAATCTTAACTTGTAAATAGTATATATTTAGTGTCTTATAATATGAATTGGGTATTCAATTAACGACTAAAACACTATTCGATATTGACAATTGACACGAGTAACTTTCACCGTATTTAACTAACAATGCGCCTTGTGTCTATGTAGCTGTCAAATATGTCTAAAATACTAATGTAATTATTATAAATTATTATATGTTTTATGACGGATGTTCGGATGATGTTGTTGGCAATTAATTCGTATAACAACTAACAGCGAAATTGATTCAGCCCAACCTCGCTTGTTATCGTAAGAAAATAAAAAAATAAATAATTGCACGCCTTCTTCGTGCTGCTGGCTGGTCGAAAAGACCTAGGACACCAAGAATACCATCGTATATTCGTGTATATAGTCAGCGGGGGTACGACGGCGAGAGGAGGGTTCAGCGTAGTGATAAACGAGCGTCTGCGGAACGGCGTGTGCGTGACGCGCCTCCTCGCGGTCGTGATGTCCCGGTCGGTTAGGGGTGGTTGTAGAGCAGTGGTATGTTGTATATAGTTAGTCGTGTGGTGGAAGAGGGATTTGACCCAGATACTTCCCTAGGTTCCCCAAACTTCATACACGGAGGGATTGGCTCTGTGCATGCGTGTGTGTGTGCGTGTGTGTGCGTGTGTGTGCGTGTGTATGTGTGTGTGAGTTTACGGTTTGTTTGTGTGAGCTGTAAACTTGTGCCCTAAAATACAATCGATTCGGGTGTATCTACCGACTAACACCCCTGCCGCCCCTCCACGACAAACGTGTTAAAAATACATTCACTTTATAGTCGGATACAATAATGTACACGATCAAAGTCCAAAGACAAAGACTATAAACACAATATATACTTAATAAAATATACTATATGGTGATTTTACTTTTTTTTATCTTTGTGTCAGATGTGTAAGTGCGTATAGTGTACAGCTAGTGTGTAAGTACCTACCTCGTACATCCATCCAATACATATTATTATAGGCACTATATAATAATTCCGATGTCTCATCGTATTATATGGATAGATGTGTGTGTGTGTGTGTGTGTGTGTATAACATACTTATAAGAATTATTAAGATAATTTATATTGTATAGAGAATAGAATATTCTCTAAAACGCGGTTCGTCTATTAATCGTTACTAAATAATATCGTTCAGCCTAGACACTTGTGTCTGCACTTTGCAGACATCAGACGTATGTAATTATTTTACACATACCAACTTGCAACTACCGGGTATTTGTTTCAATAAATTACTCACAAAATATTATATTTTATCTCAAAACGATAACAATAAATACTGCACAATAAATTGTATCGATTATTCATTTCCATTGTGCAATTTAATAAATTTTACTTTAGATGTCCTTATTGTTAGAAAACCTACAAAATAATATCATATAATATCGCGTGTTCTAGTGTTGTTAAGCCAATGATTTCTATTATATTGTTATGGTTTTTTTAAAGTATTTTGCAAAATATGTACATCTAATATATATGTAGTTACTTGTACTGTTCCAAGCAATAATTGTATTCATCGTGCTATGTATGCACGGTGCACACGAATGAATGAACGATTCTATGGTATAAATACACTTATATAATGCTGTTAATAATAAATTTTTTTTTATAAAAACTATATAATGCTGAACTTTTAAAATTTGTACATAATATGTAATCAATGAAAAATTAGGTTCATCATTTTCACCTATTAAATTATAACTAATGGTAAAGTGAATATGTTTTCTATAATTTAATAATAGTCCTTTTTTCATGTTTGGACAGAAGCATGGATGAGGACTTTCCTCCCCCCGCGGCATTTAATAGTTCTGTAAATAATAATTTTACTATAAAACGAAGACGATTAATAAATAATCGTTGTATAGGTAGTCAAACTTAATGAATGAAAACAATAAATTATGATACAACAACAATTTGTCACCTTACATCTCTATTTTCTACAATATTATTATATCCTATCCACTGGTAGACATTTTAAATTATATTTTATTTTAACAATATACGTATCATTTTTTTTTTCATAGAAATTTACTTACCTTTTCATAGAAAAGCGTAAAATATAAAACTATTGATTTGATTATTTATTATGGTTTGTGAGACCAATAGAATATTATATTTCAAATAATTAACATGAATCTTGTACCTGTGTAGTGTGTATTTTAAATTTGTGAATTTAAAATATGCAAACCATTAAACCGTAACCATACAGAAAGAGTGCATAGTTAAATTTCAAATATTTTTGATAAGTTCGTTGTAATTACGTCAGTTTAGCCTAGGCAGAGGTCACTGTAATAGACACGTGGGACAGGAATGCTTGCCTAAAAATAATAATATTACTGTCACTAGAGAAGTATAGAATATGGGTATAGTTCGAGTGCACACACTTATACATTGAATGATCGTTGCCAAAACACCCAAAACCGTTTTGCACTTCCGATCGTTGAGTACATCTATTTAGAATCATAACTCAAGAGTTGAATGTGTAATTTAAAATTTGTATGAGCTTTTAAATTTATACGATATAATAAAATATGTGAAATTGACTATTTTGGAAATATTGGCCATTTGTCGTTTTATAAATACATTTAAAAGGAAAAATTGTTGTTAGCCCTCTAGGATTTATGTACGTAACAATGTACATTTTATGTAATTGAAAAATACATAATATAAATTATATACCTTCCCAAAGTTATAAACTCATACAGATATACTTATATTTTCCATCATCAAGTGTTAATATGATAATATTTAGTACCGCAGTACTACTTATATTGCTTTATACATATATTTTTTGACATATTACCAAAAAAACTATTTAGGCGAACTATTCTCAATAATTGATTGCACTTTTAGATTTTAAAATGTTCACTTACATTGTTTTATGCATTTACTGATTATTTTTTCCACACAAAATACTTTTTTCTCGTCCAATATTTCTGTTATTTTATTTTATATTTTCATAAGAAAGGACATTTTTATTCAAATTCAAAATTCACATGTGCGTTTAAACTTTGTTTTTCAGTGCAAAGACTACATGTAAAATAATATCAAAAAAACATGATATTGATTATTATTTATTTTTTAAAATACTATTTCGTTGACTTCTGAATTAAATGTCAATATTCATAAGGTTTCTACTTAGCAATTTCAAACAAAAATAGCATTCAACAAATATTAATAATATTATAATAAAAATACTTAATAGTGAATAATAAGAATATTGTAGATAATAGATATCATATCTATTCTACGGTATATGTTGTATTGGTATAAAAATTAAAAAAATAAAATATCCTAATGCTGCCATTTAAAGACGAACTCTTTAAAAAATAATGACTGGAATAATTGATCTCCCTTTCGCAAAATAAATTCGCAACTGGTAGGTACCTACTACCTACTACCCTCGTTGTGGGTTTGACATTTATTTGGTATTTACATTTTATATGTTTAAGTAGTACCACGTTTTGAAGTATCATAATCAAAACTCGGCAGAGTAGTTTTTGAGTTATTTAACTTTGTGTACTAAGGTCTAAAGACAAAGGTATCCAAGATAATAGGTTTGGAAGATATGGAGGAGGGATATAGGGCTATGGCAATTTGAAAATGTTAGTGAATAATACTAATCTTTTAACATTTATAATTTGTAAAAATGTTCAAAGTAAAGTAAATACTAGATCCAATATGATATATTAAATATATTTTATCTTTGTATAAAATCATTTTTAAGGACTAATATCCTTAGTATTAACAAACATTTTAAAATATTGTCTGAAAGTATATTTAAAAATTCCAAGAATAAGAATATATTTTTAATTGAAATAATTTAAAAAAAGGGTGAACATGCTTGGTATTGAATCTCTCTGTATGTATTACTACATATAGTCTATATTTAATGGTAGTACACATCCTGTAGGTAGTCGTAATGCATTTATTTATTCATATTATTCAGTATACTTTGTTATTCTATTCAAAAAAATAACTACCTATCCTACCATCTATAGAGTACTTTTAATTTGTAATTTGAAACTTAAAAGTTAATTTTTTTCAAGTAGGTACTGCATTGTCTTTCTTTACTTTTATTTTTTTATTTATTTAATGTAGTGGTACACCTAATTTATAAAAAGTAAAAACAATTGTATACCTTATTATTAATACATTTTCACCAAATAAAAAGACAAAGCAGAAAATAATCTGTCAATTAAATAAGTATATTAGCCAACTCGAACTTGATGCAGTATTGTTTATTGATAAATTGTGCATTTTTTAGGACTTCAAAGTTTAGATATACGATTTAAAGTGTTTGATCAATCTAATATTTAAAAAAAATATAATGTTGTACCTACTACTAACACAACTTAAGACTGATAACAAAAGCTTAATTAAATAAAAAACTTTTGTTTCAGGAAACTACTTTTGGGAAATAAAAACGTTGAGGCCATTACGCTGAGAACGACAGTCATAATTAATACTTAAACCTATTTCAACCAGCATATACTCGGTAAGTAATTACTAAATACTTTTATTTTTCTTAAATTTTACATTTATTTTAGTAATTTTAGAACAGGCTATAGCTGGTAGACATAATATAATATATTATTTAGAAAATTAGAAAAATATTTTCTAAACACTTTTTGTTTTTAAAAGTGCAAGTGTTCAACTCATAACTTAGTCATAAGGAATATAAGAAACAATAAAAATAAGAATGTCATAATAATATAGCAAAATATTATTGTCTTTGTAGTTTCTCTAAAAATCCAAACTTATCTACAGAAATGTCTAAGTTTCTCTCATTTTCGATAATATTTCCCGTAGTGTATTGTCATAAACAGTGTATACGTTAAATCACGTATCACTGCCAATTTCGCTACACAATTATCTTTTGTCACCGTTGCATACATTAAATTTACCGACTTATTGCTTTCTCTACCTATATTCATACAAATAAACGCTTTCAAAACGTTGTCACCAGTTTAGCTGACTTGTAATTTGTTTTACAATTGTGTATACTTTGTTTTGGTTTTTTAAGAAACGAAACTTCAAATTTGTAGGTTTATATGTATTACATACCAAGGATTTGGACTATATAATGGTCGTCTGGAAACTAAAGTTTAATTAATTATCAAACTCAAAAGAATAATTTGAACTCGTACTGAATAGGCTAACCACAATTATTTTATTAGCAACTGCGTAGTTAAATCACAAATGTCATAATACGAATTGTCAACCACACCAAACACTTGCGATAAAAAAACAAATCAATCTTATTTAATATTGTTGCCATAAACATTTTGAAATTTCTTTGAAATTGTCTAAAGATTTATCTGTGTACTTTTAAGAATTGCATGTATATTTTTTTATTTTAGGGCATATAATTTCCGTCCTTAGTTATATATCGTATTAAAAATAATAATAATGAATTAAATATGATTATCATTAAAAAAATTTTAATTTTAGAAACAAGATTGGCTACTATTATATTTTTGAACTAATTGAATAGTATTTTCTACAGAATAATTAATTTAAACTTGACAGATAGTGATATAGTCTACATTTTATTGGAAATCATTTTATTGAATGTCACTTGACTTTTTGTATTGACATGTGATAACTGATAACGTATTTCAAGGACGATTTATTAAAATGCTAGTATATAAGGGTAAACAAACGATACTACAGGTAGTCAAAATTAAGAAATAGCTTTGATTCTCACAAAACGTTATAATAACGAAATCACTTGCTTAAAAAATACTTAATCTCCGAATACTTAAAATTATAAATTAAATATTATACTTATATATTATTATAATATTGTATTGAGTATCTATACAAATTTTATATTATTTCATTAAAACGTTAACGTACTACCTACCTATATAGGTTCTATTCTGACACCATATTATAGCCGCCGACATTCCAAATCAGTTCAAAACAATTATTATTCGAACGAGTTTATTGTGTTGAACGATAATGAATAAAATAGTTTAAATCAACATGTATCGTTATGATATTATTCTGTTATTTATGAAGGTAGCGTTCGAGCAATATTACTATTGTTGTATTCGTTCTTTGTTAGATATAATAATATGTTGTATCAATGCAAATTAAACACTGCAATTTGTTTTTAATTTATTGTGATCCTCTTAAATAAAATATCAACTTATATTAATTAAAAAAAAAACAAGATAATATTATTGTATATTGTGAAATAAATATACAATTATTGCAGTACCCTATTTATAGTACTTGATGACTGATACAGTATACATAAAACAAGAAATAGACAATAGTGCATTAGTGCAACTCGTTTTATTTTGAAAGTACCATTATGGCCCCAGCCAAAGCAAAATGTCAAGTTTCGTTTTCGTTCGAAACTTCGGACCATTTCTAACTCGATAAACCTTGTCCTATAGATCACTTTATTATGATTTCAACGGGTGAAAGACCTCGACATAAATCAATAATAAGTGCGCGAGGTCCTATATGATATTATAACTACTACTTACTACTGTATATGTAATACGTACACCTGCGGGTCAACGGGTTAACGTGAACGACCGTTTACTATCATTTCGTTTAGATCGACATGTAGGTATAGGACGATGGTTTTATTTTTCTATCTGTCTGTCTGTCTGTCTGTCTCCCTCTCATACACACACACAAACGCTATTTCACTCTCCATAGATCAAGTAAAACGATTGTTCCCTTTGTACCTCTATAATGTACTATTCATAGTTGATTGCATAATTTTCAAATATATTTGACTTGAGGTTTTTTCAAAGTTATTTTTATTAATCATACATAATAGCACGATGATGTTGACGCACAATTTCTACGGACACCGGACCACGTGTTTAAATTACAACGTCTAATTATATATTATTTATACGCCACCGATAACCAAATTGGTTTTTTTTTATACGTTGTAGACACAATATTGAACGAGTTGCTTAATCACTGTGTGATATTCATTTTTCAATGTGTCTGACCTTTCCAAAAGAGTTTAAGGTTGCTGCATACTATATATAGATACAGTAACTACACAGAAATAATCTAATACCTACCTAACTTCCAAGCTTGAACTGCAAAAAAATATGTAAAAAATGTATTATTAAATAAGAAAAACAATTTTCTCTAAAAAAAAAAAATACATGTAAAATAAATTAAAATTTGTATCTAATTGATGTAAAAATTTAAATATTAAAAAAAAGTTGACAGGATGTTTCATTCAAATTCAAACAATGCTCACCTAGCTTACTGATATTACATAATATTCAAATGTAACACGAGTTCTTTATCTGAACTTATGAAGGTGAGGAATTTGTATCCTATACATACACATATACAATATACATATACAATATACATTATACATATATTATTATATTCCATAATAAATGTTGTCAATGAACCTTATGCTCACACATAAGATTATGAGTAGAAAAACTGAACTGTTTTATATATTATTATAATTTATATTGTGGTTGTACAGGTACCTATTGCCTGCAACGTTTAACGATAAAAAATAGTTAGTTTTGAAGATAACTTTTGACTGAGTTATAGAAACACATACTTGTAATCTTGTCAATTTCGTAAAATTGATTATGGGTATACTATACATTCGTGTGACACACACATATATATATATATATATAATATATTCTAGTATTTAGTATATTAAATGTGGTTGTCGGTTGTTAACGTAAAATACTATAATTTTCACTTTTATAAGAACAGATTTCTTAAGAAGTGATTAATAATATTATTAATTTATGCACCGATAATTCTTTGTAGATGCTAAAATGCTATTAAACTACAATTATAACGTAAAGCTTTTTTTACTGAAAAAATAGCCATATCTATAATTTCATTAAAATATTTTTTTATAAAAATGAAGTATATTTATATTTTATTAAGTAATATAAAATGATAAAAAATACATTTTAGTATTGTAAAATTAATAACTCAAAAATTAACAAAAGTTTTCAATTATATTTTTGTTTTTAATATGGTTGATTTTTATCAATAAAAAATATGTATTTATAAACACCAAACATAGCGTTAATGAAAACTGTAATAAGACTGTAATAATATAAGGTCAAACATCGAATAATTGAAACATAATTTTCGTGGAAATAAATCGAATATTTAATTTGTTGCTAATGATAAAGTAATCAAATTATAAATACCAATGTATAATTAGAGTAAACATAATCAGCCTATGCTTGTATACAGTGGCATAGAATTATAATATTTTTATTCCATTAAATTTGAATTAATTATTTACATTAGCCATTATGTTATGATTTAATAACAATATAATGTTTTTTCTCAAAAATTGTATACACTTACTATTTTTAGATTTAATGTATATTAGTTTATATTTCATTCTTTAATACCTAGTTAAAACAAAGCCTTAGTTTTTGAAGCCTTAATAAATTTAAAAAATAAAAAAAAAAATTTTTCTTTAATGTGTTAGGTATAAATTATACTAACAATATCACTTAAAAGTTAAAACACACAGGTAGGCAAATGTTCTAAAACAAAAAAAAATGGAAATTAATTGGTGCTTAACAGTGGTCTAAAAATGCAGCGGCCACCTCCTTAACCGGTCAATGGTCTTGCATGCATATAAAATTGGTCACGTAAATGCAATCGTTGTTTATGATTAACAGATAGGCGAAAAATGTTGGATCGTATGTGATTGCAGAACAAAACAAGAAGTCACACGAGAGTGTCATTCGCAAGGTTAATTGTATTTTATTTTGAAACCAAACCAACTAAATCGCAAGACATCACGATTATTACTTAAATTAATGTCCAACAATAATTTGTACTATGAAAACTATCAAAGTATCGTTTTTTTTTCGAAAACACATGTATGGCAGCAAACAAACGGAACTAAACTCTTCGCCTTGACTTCGATTCGACACACGAAAACGTTAAATGCATTATTGCAAAAAAAAGTTATTTTTCGTCCGCTATGTCGAAACTATTAATTTTATTATTTTAATGTATAAGTATAATGTTTAATAGTATAAATAATTATAATATGTTCTTCTATCATTCTATAAGTGCTGTTAATCTTATCAACAAAACGATTTTAATAATTGCGAAATAATGTGTAAAATGAAACATTGCAATGATCATCATTCATCATTAATTATTAATCATTCAATCGTTTGATGAAAAAAAAAATAGCAATATATAATTATAATATCTATACCATATAGCAAATATTATTACAACAGATATTGTAAAGTGGTTTTAATTTTCTTATTTTGTTTCTGTATATACAGTTTAATGTTTATTATCATAAAATATATCTTTTAATATTTTAAGGCTTTGTATAACTAAACTTGACATGATAAAATTCAATTATTTTATAATATTATAATTATTATTCTTCTGATTTTAATGTATTATGTTATATCGTTCGTTCTTATAGATGTGGGTATCTATCAGAATAATAATACATAACTTTATCGAAATTCAAAATCA